ATTAAGTTACTTTGAGAATTATCGCTCTAGTTCTCGTTCCTACGTCGGCCAGCTAGATACACGACCCCGACACTAAGGAGGAGGACCGCGACAAGACGTAGTCGATGGATTGTTGCTGTGACCGAAGGAACTGCTGAAGAAGTGGCAAATGTTTTCGTTTTATTTCGATGGTGCTGACTTCAGACCGAAGAGACTTGAAGAGCGCATTGCAGAGGACTTACTAGTCGCACTACTGTCACCAGCATCACAATCACTTCAAAAACTTTGCGAACTGCTTTCCCGCGTCTGAATAACGATGGGCAAGGAGGAGCTGAAGGGGCGAATGGTCTGTAATTGCCAACAAATTAGTTGGCCAGCATCTAAATGTACGTGGATTTTTGAAGTTCTACTCGGGTGGTTCAAGTTGTGGTTGAAGAATCAGGTGGGCCTAATGACACCGACGCATCGCATGCAATCTGAAGGATCTAGCGATGCCGATTGAACGTTGGTCCCAAGATCTACCATCTGAAGTTAAATTCTATCAAACAGTTTATGCGATAATAGCTTATTATCAGTGGATAAAGGGAAATGTATAGCACGTTTCACGAAAACGCTTTGTCCATACTTCTGACGGGCAGAGCACAGATTTACATCATACCAATTCGTTTTCTTAATTAGATGAGCGAAAAGCTAATCTCTATCGTTTAGAATGTACAGTAGTCACTGTCATGGTTGTACTTATATACTTGAAGTACCGGTATTAGTGCGCTTAAGGGTCGGTCTTAGCCAAAAACAAATAGTGGGTCTCACCCAGGTGGCCCAATCGGAGAGCTTAAAAGCATGTGTTGATGGACACCTAAAGCGGCCACCAAAGTGGAATCTGATCCACGTCCGCCAGGCTTAAAAAAGCCTGGCGGACGTGGACGGGAGAGCATACGCACACCAACCGGAGAATTACATTCCGTATACTCAGCATCAACACTGCAACACTCGGAAGCCCGCGATGCCGTAAAAAAAACGCTGCATGAACTATCACGGAAAACGCTATTAATAACCACTTTGAAGTACAAAGCGTAGAGCCCGTGTCTGCCGCGTTGTCTGCCGCGTCGTCGCTAATGGTACAAATACTGAAATAATTGTGGAAAAGCCACCGCTAGTAAGATGTCAACCATCCTCCCTCTAGCGTGATCCGCCAAGCCGTCCTCCAAGATTCATGTAAAGTTCGTTCTCTGCCAAAGTGTGCAAGAAACGGTACGGTCCACTAACGTCGTCCATCTGCTAATTGCAATTTTGGCTAACATCGGTCCTATTATTAATTGTTGCCTCGAGGGAACTCAGCATAGTGCATGCACATATTGCGCATCGTTCAATTAAATGTGTTTACTTGTCGATTAATAGCGAAAACATCGTCACTTCTTTATTCCTTTGGTACCTACGTCCCGTTTTGTGTGACTAGGTACAGTGGAGGCAAGAACTACAGTACATGTGTAGAACTTCCATGCATGTGCTTATCGGTTGCAGAGCCTATCAAATACATGTGCACCTCCAAGTGGTATGAGAAACGCACGATCACTATTGGACAAGCCACTCCGCATTCAACACAAGCAATCGATTACGTGAAGCTAGCGTCAGTTTTTACAAGTAATCAGAATCGCTCGAGTTGCCCAGCAGAGTCAGTTTGAAATACTACTTGCAGCGCACACGTCACAACAAGATGATCGAGAAACGACAATGCATTTACGCTATGCGCCGTGTAAGGACAAGCTCTAGTCTCTGTACTCGTCACCATGTCTGACACTGTATACCGACGATTTCTTATGGAGTAGAAGAAAGCGAGGGAGCTACGTTCCGAGGTGCGCAAGCTGGAGTTCCAGATAGCGATGCTCAAGTCGCCGGTCGTAGCGACGTCGGACAAAAAACTTCGAAAAGCAACAGCAGAACAAGCAGAGCTGCTAGCCATTGGTCGTAACAATCAACTTCAGGTCGCCAAGGCACAGTCTGCCATCTCCGGTTGCATGGTACGACCGAACAACTATGAAAAACTGAGCTGTGAACTCTAACGCTGCTGGTGTTATTTCTCAGGGTGATTACGATTCATATCCACTGCATTCCAAAATTCGCCTCAGTGATGATTGGGATCAGCGACGTGCGACTCTTTTGTCGATCAGAGAGGAGAAGTTGCGTGCGGCATACGACTTTGTGATGGATCCAACCGGACTTCTTGATGATGAAGGAACAAGATACGCGGACGAGATGTTCGAGACGGACGACGGGGATTGGTGCTGTATTCGCTTTGAGACTATCCAGTTCCCCAATGTGGAGTCCATTGAGCAAGTGTTTGATGCCGTCATGAGTTACTTTAAAAACACTGAGCTCCTCATCTCGGAAAGGCCGGGGAACTTTGCGGTACGGGACGATTATGAATGTCTTGAGGGTGGGATCACGAACTCGCGAGTGATCGCAACAAACAGCACTGGTATCACAATGGAAGCGAGTACCCTAGTCATCTCCCAGCTTTTGAACGAAGGAGACGCGCGATTTGGCGGCGAGCAGATTGGAATCATTGCCATCGATTCTGTGGACGAAGATAAACTCTTCCCTTGGGTTTCAACCGAGCGCGTGCGGCAGGATGGGACGGGTGCAATCGTGTTGACTGCGTCTAGATCTTGCGACGCATCTGATGGTTCGAGTTCAACGGGATCCACGTCGTCGGAAGAAGACAATGAGGTGACAGTGACTATGAGAAGAGCGACTTACGTCAAGCTGTACCAACCCGACTTTCCGTTGTCAGAGGAGGAGCAACAAGATCTGCGCGATGGGTTTACGCGTGCGGGAGAATTCATGAGAAAAGCTATTCGAAGAATCGTGTACAACCAGCACTAAACAACGTTTAGTTCATTTCGGATCATGCTCGTTCTAATTTTCTTGTCAAGGAGAGAATCGATTTTGAATGCTTTAAGCGAAGCTCAAACAATCTATGCAGCTGACCACGCAGTAATTCGCAGCAACTTCAAACCCGTGCTTGCAGAACAATTAGTATAGCACCATCGCTTGTTCTAATGTCATTATTCCAAATCGCAGATTTTGGTCCAAAATGGTCCTTTGGACCATATCTGATGACCAATTTTTGGCGCCAAGATCCAGTGGCAATTCGAAACCCCGCGAAAAGGCACGCATCCGGCACGCGCCAAAAAGGGGAGGGGATTTAAAATCATCCAATCACACGTCCCAACCTTCAGTTTTTCATCCAATCATCATCAAGATATAACTCGTCCTCACCTTCACCACCCACCGAGTCCGTCCAGTCTTCAATCCTCCGTCGAGAGCACACACAGACCAAAAACGATGTACGTCATCAAGCGCGACGGTCGTCGCGAGGACGTCAAGTTCGACAAGATTACGGCGCGCATTACCAAGCTCTGCTATGGGCTCAACCCGGACTACGTCGACGCTGTCAAGATCTCCCAGAAGGTCGTGGCCGGCGTGTACCCCGGCGTAACCACATCGGAGCTGGACGAGCTCGCTGCCGAGACGGCAGCGTACCAGAGCACGCAGCACCCAGACTTCTCCAAGCTGGCGGCGCGTATCGCCGTGTCCAACCTGCACAAGAACACGAACAAGGTCTTCAGTGACAACATCGAGGTGTTCCATAAGAACGTCCACGAAAAGACAGGGGCAGCTGCGCCGCTCATTGCTGATGACGTATACGAGATCGTGATGCAACACAAGGACGAGTTGAACTCGGCCATCATCCACGACCGCGACTTCGAGTACGACTACTTCGGCTTCAAGACGCTCGAGCGCGGCTACCTCTTCCGCGTGAATGGCAAGGTGGTGGAGCGGCCGCAGCAAATGATTCTGCGTGTAGCGTTAGGCATCCACAAGAGCGACATCAAGTCCGCACTGGAGACGTACGAGCTCATGTCGCAGAAGTTCTTCACGCACGCCACCCCTACTCTCTTCAACGCCGGCACGCCACGTCCTCAGTTGTCTTCTTGCTTCCTATTGGCTATGCAGGATGACTCTATTGAGGGCATTTACGACACCCTAAAGCAATGCGCCTGTATCTCTAAATGGGCGGGCGGTATCGGTATCAGTATGCACAACATCCGCGCCACTAACAGCTACATCCGCGGCACGAACGGCTCCTCTAACGGCATTATCCCCATGTTGCGTGTGTTTAACGACACGGCTCGCTATGTGGACCAGGGCGGAGGTAAGCGCAAGGGCTCGTTCGCTATCTACTTGGAGCCGTGGCACGCCGACGTGTTCGAGTTCCTGGATCTGCGTAAGAACCACGGTAATGAGCTGCACCGCGCCCGCGACTTGTTTTACGCGCTGTGGGTGCCTGATCTCTTCATGAAGAGAGTGGAGGCCAATGGCAAGTGGAGTTTGTTCTGTCCCAACGAAGCTCCTGGTCTGTACGAGTGCTGGGGCGATGAGTTTGAAGCTCTGTATGAAAAGTACGAGAAGGAAGGACGTGCGCGTAAGACAATCAACGCTCAGCAGCTGTGGTTCGCTATCCTAGACGCTCAGATTGAGACGGGAGTGCCCTTCATGCTCTACAAGGACGCAGCTAACCGCAAGTCGAACCAGCAGAACTTGGGTACGATCCGTTCCAGCAACTTATGCTGCGAAGTCATGGAGTACACGTCACCCGATGAGGTGGCAGTGTGCAACTTGGCGTCTGTGGCGCTGCCTATGTTTGTGGAAAACGGTGTGTTCGACTACAAGAGACTGTATGAGGTGGTCAAGGTGATCACGCGCAACCTCAACAAGGTCATCGACGTCAATTATTATCCTGTTGCAGAGGCTCGCAAGTCCAACATGCGCCATCGTCCCATTGGTATTGGCGTCCAGGGTCTGGCGGATGCGTTCATCCTCATGAACTACGCGTTCGAGAGCCCGCAAGCTCGTGAATTGAACAAGAACATCTTCGAGACGATCTACTTTGCTGCCATGGAGACGTCGATGGAGATTGCCACGGAATTGGGTCCTTACGAGACGTTCCAGGGCTCTCCGGCCAGTAAGGGTATCTTCCAGTTCGACATGTGGGGCGTCACACCTTCATCTGGGCTTTGGAACTGGGCCGCACTAAAAGATGACGTCATTAAACACGGTCTCCGTAACTCGCTGCTGGTTGCACCCATGCCGACAGCCTCCACGGCTCAGATCCTGGGCAACAACGAGTCTATCGAGCCTTACACGTCCAACATGTACAACCGTCGTGTGTTGGCTGGTGAGTTCACGATTGTTAACAAGTATCTGATGAAGGAGCTTATCGAGCTCGGCATTTGGACGCCGGAAGTACGTAATCAGATTCTGAATGATGGTGGCTCGGTGCAGAAGGTCAAGGACATTCCGGATGATGTTAAGGAGAAGTACAAGACGGTGTGGGAGATCAAGCAGAAGGCTGTTCTGGACCTGTCGGCTGACCGTGGCGCTTATATCTGCCAGAGTCAGTCGTTGAACATCCACATCGCCGACCCGACTATCAGTAAGCTGACGTCCATGCACTTTTACGCTTGGAAGAAGGGACTCAAGACCGGCATGTACTACATGCGCGGACGTCCGAAAGCCGACGCTATCCAGTTCACTGTGGACAAGCAGGGGCTTGACTTGCAACGCGCCAAGGAGGAGGCTGCCAAGGCTCCGGCTCCGACCACTGAGACCGTTACCCGAGCAGGTGATGATGAGGACGAGTGTCTGGTATGTGGTGCGTAAGTGTGTCGGGAAGCGCTGTAGCGAAGCAGACGGGATAAGCAGTTAGATATTCATTTCGTAGGAAGTATTACAGACAATAAAGCCTGGTAACATTCAGCCACCATCAGAGCCACTGTAATCACTTTTTTCGAGCCCTTACGAGAAGCATTAATGGCTGCCAGTATTTGCCTAGGAACCATAAAATCCTGTTACCTATGAAGAATGTGCCTTCAATGCTGTACGGCGTACGATATTCTACATGACACCTTCGCAAGGAGGAAAACAAACCCGCGTCAGGTCATTCATATGTTTTAAACAGACAAGTAAAATGCAGGCGCGGTATCCGACGAGTGGTCTTACTATCGTTCTACAACATGTGCCCCGCGATCGACACGTCGGGCAAGTTGCGGTTTAGTAGTCTACTACACCCAAGGCCGCGCAATAGCGAGACGTTCAGGTAAAATGCTGTATATGTTCGTATGTTACTACGACTGGAGCTAGTAGGTTGTGATTAACCTCGTAAACCTTGCTGCGATACGTTACACTGTATTCCGCGGACGTAATCCTGGTTTACTTTGTCCGTTGTCGTAGCCAGAAATTCATTTGGCCGCTACTTCGAAGTTATTCTGTGCACTCATAACTTCGTTCGGGGGGTTTGTGTGCGCTTATTTTGCACGATTGTCTCATGCAAGAAACAAATAATAATAATGTATGGGTTGTCCTTTGATATCCAGTAAGCGCACTCCCACCCAAAGTATTTACGGACACAATGGACGCGGAATTGTTAGGGAGGTCAGAGTTGATCTTATGAACAAGTAGGGAGGGGTTAGACAATCATATTCGGTCGATGTCAACACTTACAAGAATTGATGAAACCGTGTTTACACGCACATTTTATTTGCAAAATATTGCTCCGCATAAACACAGGCATCACCACTTTTAGCAGAATAAGCTGTTATGATATTCTATATTTTCAACGATAGTTCCACATTAACAGTAACCAGCAGCACTTATTCGTTAGACTTAGCTTTACGTGGAAATAATGCAACTCGCTGGAAAACAAAAGGAGTCAGCAGCACGACATTTTCTTTGCTCATGCAAGTACCATCGTTTCATGCGGTTCATACCGCATCATGTTGTCACTCCACCTTCCTACAATATTGGCGTCGAAGACGTGTGCACCAAAAGGAAACCGAAGGTCTAAGCACCTATTCTCACGACAGTGTTCACAACGAACGACACGTCCAACATTCAGCATCTATCAATTTTATTTTGATATTAAGCCCCGAGGGTTTGTACTTTAAGCTATGTGGGTGCAGGGGTCGGACAGTATATTGAATATGGATGGTCGTCACAATCAATATTGTCACAATTACAATTCTTTGTCAAATAGTTGCAATATCGATATAAAACTGTGAATCTATGTACTGAAGTTAGCTATTCACGAATTGCAAGCACATTCAAGCTTCTTGGGTGCGAGCTAAAAGATAAGAAAGGAAGCCGGATTAGTTCGCATTGTTTGCATCGTCCTCAACAACACAAAGCCCCCTTCCGGACCTCTCTACCACTTTTATAATCATATCCCTGACATTGTCTTGACCAAAGTGGGGGAGTTCATGACACTGGGGAGATGATAAGCCTGGAACTAGACAGCCAATTGCCAAACAGCCTGATAAAGAAGATATAAGAACTTGACTACCGAACTTACATCTTAGCGATGGGGATGCGAGCAGTCGTTTACAACTATTTTCTCTAGTATTGAGTGGCTCTACACGATTATCAAGGCGCTAGTATCAATCTTGACAACAACAAGAGCTTCACATTCATGGTTGTAATTCGTTGTTGAGTGGTCGATGGGCTAGTACAACTGCTGCAGCGATGTCGATTTTATAAGGGCGTTAAGGAGAGAAACTCGCCGTCATATTAGGCGAGATTCTGGCGTAGAGACCCATGATCCTTTTGGCTCCATATAGCGCAAACGTATTCATATTAACGCATGTGTCTACTTCACCAAGCAGATGCATGGTGTTAATGTAACTGAGGAGCCTCTGCAAACACGACAATGGACTATGGACGGTTTAAATAGCGCAGTAGCTAACTGTGCAAGTGCTTACAGTTTACTATTGTGCTGTGAAATAGTCCATTTATTAAAAAAAAAGTACATGTAAATGACGTTCCGAAGAGAAAAAAAAATGAAATTGTAAATTTGTAAATATTGATTGTCAAGACCTTTACAATCTCCACTGGAAGTTGACCAATATTGTTCAAGAAGAAAGGTGGACCTATATACTGTACATTACTCGTATCTATCGCACTCATCTTCATCGTCAATGCCGCGTCCCGTACTGTCATAAATATGACCTCGTTGGTCTCAGGGACACGAGCGGAACGGTCTACAGTGTTTGCGCTCGCTCATGCGCTTCCTTTGACAACCGAGCAGTGGGAAAGAGACGTGGAGCCGAACGATATTAACTTCGAGCCCTGCTTCAGTGTGTCAGGATACAATGTATCTGGTTCGCTTTCAGAATTTATTGAGCCCACAGGCCACATGAAGCCATGCTCGCAATCAGTCTGTCCTCATTGATTATACTTGTCAGCGAATCAGAGTGGCGGCTTGGTTCACTCTGACGGTGTCCCCAGATATATCTTTTATCTTTTAACCTATGTGCTAAATGCTGTTGATATTGTTTGCTTTTATGGCCGTAATCTTGTCTACCATCGGAAATGATTTGGACTGGATTTTATTAAAATCTAATCGGATTAGCATTTCCGCTACCATCCGTTCGTTTGATGAATGTGAAGTTTAATTCGTAAAACATCTTCATTAATAAATTTAAGCTATCATTAATGCACGACCGGCAGGAGATATCACAGCGAGCAGTACAGATAGCCCTCATCGTCGATAGGGATTAATTGCTGCAGTCAAGATCAGTATTTACATACTTAGTACTTAGTTAGACGAGTACAGACGCAGGATTCAAATCATAAGATGCAGTTGAGCATAGAAATTGCAATACTGTCGTTTGCAATGGACGTATTCAATCCGGTATTGATGTTAACCAACCGGTGAACGCAACCTCTATCTATATAAATGGATCGGCTTTGAAGATCAACACAACATCACTTTTAATTCCACTAACTTGGCCTCAGTCCACCCCTGTAGTTCGTCAGAAAACAAAAGAATGCGCTTCGGCGTCGCTGTGGTCTTCCTCGTAGCTGCGTTCGTGGCAAGTTTCACCCACATCGATAGCACCGAACACGTTGCCCTTGTCGACGACGATCGTCGTCTTCGTGCAGAGGCCCCCGTTAACAAGGCCGGCGCTTCTAAACTTGCCGGGGAACTGGGAGTGAAGCTGAAGGAGAACCCTGCTCTGACGAAGACTGTTAACACCATCAAAAAATCAGGTGGCAATATCGTGGCTATCAAAAACACCGTCAAGCAATTCGCTGGTAAGCTTGCCAAGGATGGAGCCAAGATAAGTGATGAAAGCGTTACCAAGATATCGAAAACTATATCTGAAGTCCTGCAAAAGCATCCGCGTGCTAAAAAAAACGCCAAGATAACGTATATCATCGCCACTGGACTGCTTTCCAAGTACGGTTTATACAAACTACTGTTTGATAGGGACTCCGATAAGAACAGCACGGCTCCAGCTAACACTACAACCGCGACTAGTACTACTACTACGGCATCGAATGTAACGTTAAAATAAAGTCTACGTATTGCTTTAGATCTCATTTTTGCGATTTGATACTTATAGTTTGGTAGGTGAGGGTCGGTCTCATCCAACAGTATGGATTTCGTACTTTAAAAGTCAGTATACAGCGCGATTATCACGTACAGTATAATAGTCATAGATATCCAGAGGTTCATGTACGGGTCTGTGGTCTACAACTGTATTTTGCTATCTTCGGACGTATCGAAACGAGCACCTTATACTCGGTTTAAAAAGATGTTACCGCTTTGAATGCGGACAATACAAACAAGAGCATCCGTTTACGAGCCCAATGTTGAGCACAAAACACTTGCTTTCCCCCTACGGTAAAGCTAGTTTAAGAAATATTTCGAGATTTGTCGTATCAGCGCCAAAATGGACATACAGGCAATCCTCTCGGGGAACCAGGGAATTATAACAAACTGGGGTTATCACAACCCAGAGTATACCAGTTGGATGGAACAACCGGATCGCTAGTGTGGTTTGAGTGCTGGCGGTGTTCAAATAGAGCAATTCAAATGCTGCGATACAGCCATGAATTATTGGCTGTTTGCCTGAGTTCAGTGCGTCCATAGCAAGCTGTGCTTGAAAAACTGAGGTGACCTGTCAAGTTGCCTG